TCTGCCAAAACAGAAGATCCTAATAAAATCCAGTTTCAAAACACAATACCATAAAGACCAAGACTACAATTTAAAAAATCATTGTCATACCAAGAACCAGGAAAACCTCAACTTGAGATGACACAAATGTTAGAATTATGACAAATATTTTACAGCAACCATCATAAAAAAATGCTCTAGAGACTGTGGACTCTGAGAAACAAACTGAGGGTTCTAGAGGGGAGAGGGTTGGGGGGATGGGTTAGTCAGGTGATGGGTATTAAAGAGGACACGTATTGAATGGAGCACTGGGTGTTATATGCAAACAATGAATCATGGAACACTACATCAAAAAAAATAAGTTAGGGGCGCCTTGGTGGCTCAGTCGTTAAGCGTCTGCCTTCGGCTCAGGTCATGATCCCAGGGTCTTGAGATCGAGCCCTGCATCGGGCTCCCTGCTCCGCGGGAAGCCTGCTTCTCCCTCTCCCACTCCCCCTGCTTGTGTTCCCTCTCTCGCTGTGTCTCTCTCTGTCAAATAAATACATAAAATCTAAAAAAAAAAGTTAAAAAAATGTTCTAATGAGCAATTACAAGCAAACTTTTCTGAAACAAATGAAAAAATAGAAAGTCTTAGCAAAGAAACAGAGAACTTCGATAAGAAGCAGATGATTACAAAGACCTAATGGAAATTTTAGACCTGAGAAAATACAAAAAGTGAAAACTCTATTGGATGGGCTTACTAGCAGAATGGGGACAAAAGAAGGAAAAAATCAGTGAACCTGAAGACAAAACAATATAATTTATGCAATCTGAATAAGACAGACAAAATAAACTACAAAAAAAATTATAAGCATCTCAGGGACCTATGGGACTATAAAAAATATCTAATATTTCTGCAATTGAATTCCATGAGAAACTCTTAACTCTAGGAAACAAACAGGGTTGCTGGAGGAGAGGTCGGGGGGGATAGGGCAACTGTGTGATGAGCACCACATGTTATATGCAACTGATAAGTTATTGAACTCTACATCTGAAACTAATGATGTACTATATGTTGGCTAATTGAATTTAAATTTAAAAAATGAATTCCAGAGGGAGAGAATATGGAACTGAAAAACTATTCAGAGGGAAAAAAATGGTTAAAATTTCTCAAATTTCCAAAAGACAAAGACATATAGATTCAAGAAGCTGAGGAAACTCCAAACAGAATCAACTTAAGCAAATTAGGGCCAAGAAACATCACAATCAAACTTTTGATATGTAAAGACAAAGAAAAAAATCTTGAAAGCAATGAGAGATTATGATACCTCATCCCTAAGGGAACAAACATTTCAGATATCAGCTCATTTCTCATCAGAAATCATGGATGCCAGTGGAATGTAGCACAACATTTTTCATGGTGTGGATGAATGGATAAAGAAAATGTGGTGTCTATATATATAATGGAATTTTATATATATATGAATATTATTCAGCCAGTTACAAAATAAATAAGTCATGGGGATATAAAGTACAGCATGGTAACTACAATTAATAATATATTGCATATTTGAAAGTTGCTAAGAGAATAGGTCTTAAAAGTTCTCATCACACACACAAAATTTGCAACTATGTATGGTAATGGATGTCAAGTAGATTTATTGTGGTGATTATTTCACAATATATACAAATATCAAATCATTATGTTATATACCTAAAACTAATATAATGATGTATGGCATTTATACCTCAATAAAATTGTCTTTTAGGGGCGCCTGTGTGACTCAGTTAAGTGTCCAACTCTTGATTTCTGCTCAGGCTATGATCTTGGGGTTTTGGAATCCAGTCCTATGTGGGGGGTTCTGTGCTCAGCAGCGGATCTGTTTGAGATTCTCTCCCTCCTTCTCCCTCTACCCTTCCCCCCACTCACACTCTCTCTCTCTCTTTCTCTCTCTCTCTCTCTCTCACTCACTCTCTCTTTCTCTAAAATAAATAAGCACTGGGTGCTATACACAACTAATATATCATTGAACATTATATCAAAAACTAATGATGTACTATATGTTGGCTAATTGAATTTAAATTAAATAAATAAATAAAATCTTTTTTAAAAATTGTCTTTTAACAGATACTAAATAGTTAATTCTGTTGACTCTGATCCAAGGTCTTCATGAGGTAGAAAGACCAGCAAATTCTTCATGTTGGGAAGTTCTTATAATACACGGGATTACATCTTCCTATACCACAAAGATTTAAAAACCACCTTCAAGGAAGCTTTCAGTACAAACACCAGTAATGCTATGCAAATACTTAAAAAATAGAAGGGAAGTTTCTGAGAAGTTAATCACAAGACAGATTCTCTGGAAAGAAAGGATCCAGACCAGTGGTTTCCTATGGCAGTTCCTCTGGAGCCCAAGTCAGATTTAAAACAGGAAGTCTTTGTAACACACACAGACCCAGACCAGACGTCCTCTATGCCTGGGCTCACTGGTGGTCTGCATCATGAGAAACAGAAATCTACTGCTGCCAGGTAGGTAGAATTATAACAATAATGACAGATAACTAAAGCTATCTGGGAACTCTCTATCCAGTTAGAAAATATTCTGTGTTCTTGATAATCTGTTTGTTTTCCCACTTTTTCTATAAAGGACAAAGGGAATAGATTTTAAGAAGGATGTTGGATCATTTATATTAAGTCTCAAAGGAGAAAATCAGTAAAACTTACTCCTGGAGCCAATCTCATTTTACCACCTATATTGGTCCAGTTTCTCCAGAGAAACAGAACAGTATAATGTGTGTGTGTGTGTGTGTCTGTGTGTCTGTGTGTCTGTCTGTCTGTGTGTATGAGAGAGAGAGGGTGAGGGAGAGAGAGAAAGAGAGAGATTCATTCATTTTAGGGAATTGGTTCATGAGATTGTGGAAGTTGGGAAATTGATATTCTGCAGGGCAGGCCAGCAGGCTGACTTGATGTTACATCTCAAGTCTGAAGTCATTCTGGAAGCAGAATTCCCTCCTCCTCAGAGGAGGTCAGTCTTTTTTTTCCCCCCAAGGTCTTCAACTGATTAGAGGAGGCCCACCCACATTATGGAGGGTAATCAGCTTTACTCAGAGTCTACTGATTTAATTGTTAATCTCATCTAAAAAGCACCTGCACAGCAATATCTAGATTAGTGTTTGACCAAATATCTGGGTGCTGTGGCCCAGCCAAACTGATACATGAAATTAACCCTCATACCACCTGTGCTCGCTTCGGCAGCACATATACTAACCCTCATACCACCTATACTATTTTTTTCACAAGGGAACATAACCAAATTCTCTGAAAACTCTAATGAGCTAAGAAGAACATCATCCTTTAGTCCATAGGCTTTGTGTGGGTCATGGAATGGTTGAAAGGGCAATAACTGCATAATAGCAGGGACAGCTTAATGCTGATTAGTCTTTCTTTCCCTCAATGCTTAGGATAATACCTGTTAGATAACAAGTTAAGTGTTTCAGTTGTCCTCATTGGTTGTAATTTTTTCCCCTGGTTGTTGTGAAAATAGTCAAATTTCTTATCATCTGATGTGCAGAACATGATTATTTTTCATGCTGGGCACATTTTAGGAAAATCCTATAAAGGTACTGAGATATGGAAAGACTTCTATAAACTTCATTGCCTCCCATGAATGGAATGACAGACTCTAACAGGTGGCCAGGTGATTGCCTGTAGGGTAGATTCCTTCACACCTGCAGTGGTTTTCATACAAGTAACCCTGCCCAGTGACCCATCACTCAGGACCAGACTGGGAGATAAATGGAAATGCTGTGTCCTCAGTGCACTGTAGGATGGCCAGGAGCTCACTTGAAAGGAACCATAGAAGCCATGGGTGCTGCACCTGGAGCGGCCACTTAACCAGGAGATGGTGGCTCAAACCGCCAGGGTGATAGTTCTCACCCCTCACCTGTCATCAGCTCCCCCTCTCGTGATTCCATGGCTCCCTGCACGACCAATACCACTGTGAGCTGGGACTCAGACTTGGGGCTGGCTGACTCCCAAACCCATGCTCTTCTTGTGTGCCCCAAAACATGTGGGTTAAACAGAGGGGAGTGATCCTGGAAGAGAAATCCTCAAGGTAGATTTCTGCCATTGCCAGAGAACAAAGGACCTGGCTGTGGACAGAGCACACACCCATCTGTGGACTTTGTGCTTTAAGATTTACCCCCTCCATCAGGAGAGGCTGGAATTTCTAAATCGTGTCCCTGACATCAGTTGTCTGTGTATATTCTGTCCCCTTACCTGTAACACTGAGGTTCCATGAGGGTGGTGTCCGTTAGTGACTAACTTCTCAGGGAGTCCAGGAAGAGGGAGGGAATAGGACTGGTCCTCAATTCTACATAAAGTACAAGAGCCTTGTGGATGCTGCTGGAAAGCTGTGGGCTGCAGGGTCAGAGCCACCTCCCCAGGAGGCAATGACCATGCCACCAGGAATTGAAACTGGAGCTCCACTCTCCTTTCTTTGTTCTCTCACTGTTTTTTCTGCCCCAGGACTCTTGATGCTGCTGCTGTTGACATGGGGAGCTTCAGTCCAGAACAGTAGAGGTGAGTCTGCCCAGACTTAGTGACATAAGCTAAGGAGAGCATGCTAGGGTCTGGGTTCTGCACCAAGGGGGAAAGGAGGCTTATTCTCCAAGTGAAGCTCCAAGATAGTCTTCTGGAGATAATAGAAACTGTTTCTTCCTCCATAAATGTCCAGTCTTCTGTCCTTTCCTCTTCTGATGGCAGCCATCCATCCCCTACCTTCCCCTGCTCTACTCATGGACCCTTAGCTGGCAGCTGGCTTCATCCATTCCTCGAAACTTCTGGCTATGGTCTCCATCCCCACTGCTAGTTCCCCCACACCTGTCCTCACTGGTGACCTCTGAACTCTCCATGGGTCAATGCCATCATGTGTCACTGTTCTCCAGGATTCAGTTCTTTGGGGAGATTTTTACCAGTCCCTTGGAGAATTGTGATGGTACAGGGGTTTGGGGTGGTGGAGAGGCATGGAGATGTGGGGGGAGACAGGAAGGGGGTCCTCAGTCTTGAGAGCAGCACCCAGCACTTCATCAAGGAAAAGAGAGAGGTGACAGGACAGGGGGAGTACGAGGGAAATGGACAATCAGGTTTTCATGATCAATAAGCAGAGTGTTGAGAGCTTACACAGCAGAGCTGGGCTACGTGGGTTCAAAGTCCAGCTCACCGCTAATCACATCTGACATGTAGGAAATTATTTCTCCTCTCTATGCCTCAGTTTGCTTGTCTGTAAATTGGGGACAATCATTGTACCTACCCCCCATGGATGGAGTGAGATTTAAAATTCACGTGTGTGAAGAACAGGTAAAGACTAGTACAGAGCAGACTGTCAGACACAAGTTATTATCATGGTCACTACTGTTATTACTGTGATGATTCTCATAGCACAAGGAAAGGGGAGAGTAATGGAATCAACAGGAGGGAAGAAACACCCAGAGCCTAGAAGCTCAGCCACTCCACCTGGCATGAGCTCACCAGGAACTCCTGCCCCCTCAGGGTCATAGTTTCCCAATTTAAATTTCCTCCAACGGTGCACAAATTTCCCTTTTTCCCACATATTCACCGACAGTTATTTCTTGTCTTTTTTATAACAGCCATTCTAACAGGTATGAGATGATACCTCATTGTGGTTTTGATTTGCATTTCCCTGATGATTACTAGTGTTGAGTACATTTTCGTGTACCTCTTGGCCGTTTGGATGTCTTCTTTGGAAAAATGTATATTCAGATCCTCTACCCAACTTTAAATTTATTAATAATAATCTTTAGAGGGTTTTTTTTTTTTGCTATTGAGTTGTATGAATTCTTTATATATTTTGGAAGTTAATCCTTTATGAGATAATATGGTTTGCAAATATTTTCTCCCAAATTGTAGACTGCCTTTTCATTTTGTTGATGCTTTCCCTTGCTGTACAGAAGTTTTTAGTTTGCTATGGTCCCACTTATCTATTTTTGCTTTTGTTGCCTTTGCTTTTGGTGTCAAGTCCAAAAAATCATTGCCTACACCAATGTCAAAAAGCTCACTCCCTGTTTTCCTCTATGAATTTTATGGTTTCAGGGTAGCATCATTTTTTAAATTATCAAATTTAAGCTCAAAAAGATTGAGTGACTTATCCAAAGTCTTACAACTAATAAAATGGTAGAAGCATGTCCAGGTATAAAGCTAGGGGGGGTTTAAGTATTGGTGAGGATGTAGAGAAAAAGGAACCCTCATGCACTGTTAGTGGGAATGTAAATTGGTACAGCCACTGTGGAAAACAGTATGGAGGTTCCTCAAAAAATTAAAAATAGAAATACTATATGATCCAGTAATTTCACTACTGGGTATTTACCCAAAGGAAACAAAAACACTAATTCAAAAAGATATACGCACCCCTAACTTTTATTGCAGCATTATTTACAATGCCCAAGATATGGAAGCAACTCAAGTGTTCATCCGTAGATGAAATGATAAATGAGATGTGGCATCCATCTTCAATGGAACATTACTCACCCACAAAAAAAAGATCTTGCCATCTGTAACAACATGAATAGACCTAGAAGGCTTAATATCAAGTGCGGTAAGTCAGTCTGAGAAAGACAAATACCATATGATTTCACATATATGTGTAATCTAAAATATAAAACAAACAAAACCAGACTCCAATACAGAGAGCAAACTGGTGGTTGCCAGAGGGAAGGTGGCAGGGGGATGGGCAAAATAGATAAAGGGGATTAGGAGGTACAAACTTCCAGCTATAAAATAAATAAGTCACAGAGATGAGAAGCACAGCATGGGGAATATAGTCAATAATTCTGTAATAATATTGTCTGGTGACAATTGATGTCTACACTCATCACGGTGAGCACTGAGTAATGTTTAGAACTGGTAAATCATTATGTTATACATCTGAAACTAATATAACACTGTATGTTAATTATACTTCGATGAAAATATATTTTAAAAAAGAAAGCAGGGGCGCCTGGGTGGCTCAGCTGGTTAAGCGACTGCCTTCGGCTCAGGTCATGATCCTGGAGTCCCGGGATCGAGTGCCGCATCGGGCTCCCTGCTCGGCAGGGAGTCTGCTTCTCCCTCTGACCCTCCTCCCTCTCATGCTCTCTGTCTCTCATTCTCTCTCTCTCAAATAAATAAATAAAATCTTTAAAAAAATTAAAAAAAGAAAGCAAACATTTCTAAAGTCTTTTATATTTGAGTATATTTGACACACAATGTTACATTAGTTTCAGATATACAACATAATGATTTGACAAATTTATACATTATGCTATGTTCACCACAAGTGTAGCTGCCATTGAATCAACACATTGCTGTTACAATAGCATTGACTATATTCCTTATGCTGTGCCTTTTCTTCCCATGACTTATTCATTCCATAATTGATAGCCTGTATTTCCCACTCCCCTTCACCCAACCCCCAGCCCCCCTCTCCTCTGGCAACCATCAGTTTGTTCTCTGTACTTATAGGTCTGATTCTGCTTTTTGCTTATTTGTTTTATTCATTTGCAGTTTTTTTTAGATTCCATTTATGAGTAATACCATATGGTATTTGTCTTTCTCAATCTTATTTCACTTAACATAATAACCTCTAGGTCCATTCATATTGTCTCAAACGGCACAATCTCATCCTTTTTATGGCTCTGTAATATTCCATTGTGCATATACCACATCTTCCTTATCCACTCATCTGTTGACGGACACTCAATTTGCTTCCATATCTTGGCTATTGCAAATAGTGCTGCAATAAAAAACAATAAAAAAAATACTTTGTAAGCTAAAGAGCACTATGCACAAATAAGATAGTATTGTTTAGTACTATTTAAATCATTTATTTTTTATGTACTATACAGTGGCTAACTGAACATAATAAAAAAAGAAAATTAATTTCAAAGATGACTATTATTATGTATTAAATTTACTGTTGAAGATTAAAAATATAAATTTAACAAAAAAAATCATTTATTTTGCCCCTGAAATAATTTTTTAAGTATACAAAAACAAACTTTCAGAGGACCTGGGTGGCTCAGTCAGTTGAGCTTCTGACTCTTGATTTCAGCTCAGGTCATGATCTCAGGGTCCTAGGGTAGAGGCCCAAGTCAGGCTCCCTGCTCAGTAGGGAGTCAGCTTGTCTCCCTCTCCTTTTGCCCCTCCCCTGCTCTCTCTCACTCAAATAAAATCATCTTTAAAAAAACTTTCACAATCCAAGAATTAAGTTATACTACATATCTGCTTAAGAAATTATACAAAATTAGAAGTGTATTTTTAAAATTCTGTTATATATGAATATCTTTTCAAAACATTTAAATAAAGGTAACATAATTTTAACCTAAAAAGAAATAAGTCAATCAGAGAAACACAATTATCATATGGTTTCATTCATATGTGGAACATAAGGAATAGTGTAGAGGATAATAGGGAAAGGGAGGGAAAACTGAATGGGAAGAAATCATTGAGGGAGACAAACCATATGAGACTCTTGACTCCAGGAAACAAACAGGGTTGCTGAAAGGGAGGTTGGTGGGGGGATGGGGTAACTGGGTGATGGAAATTAAAGAGGGCATATGATACGATAAATAAATAAATAAATAAATACTAATAATGGATTGATGAAATAACCTTAACTTTAAAACAACACAGTTGTTAAACTATGCTGAAAAAGAAAAAGAGGGAAGGAAGGAAGGAAGGAAGGAAGGAGAAAGAGAGAGAGAGAAAGAAAGAAAGAAAGAAAAGAAAGAAAGAAAGAAAGAAGAAAGAAAGAGAAAGAGAAAGAAAGAGAAATTTCAACCTCATAAAGAAAATCAACTATTTTTCTCAAATCAACGAAACAAAAATTGGGGCACCTGGGTGGCTCAGTCAGTTGAGCATCTGCCTTCAGCTCAGGTCATGATCCCAAGGTCCTGGGATTGAGCACCGCGTCCGGCTCCCTGCTCAGCGGGGAGCCTGCTTCTCCTTCTCCCTCTCCCTCTGCCTGCTGCCCACCCCCCAGGGGGATTTTAAAATCTTTAAAAAAACAAAAACAAAAATTGTTTTTCCTTTAAGATGAAAATAAATACAACTTGAATAAAGGAAGCTGGAACTAAAGTTTGCTTTAAAAAACATTTTATAATGACACTGAAGAGGGGTTTTTTTTATCTTTTTTTTTATGTTACATTAATCACCACACATCATTAGTTTTTCATGTAATGTTCCATGATTCATTGTTTGCGTATAACACCCAGTGCACCCATTCAATACGCGCCCTCTTTAATACCTATCACCAGGCTAACCCATCCCCCCACCCACCTCCCCTCTAGAACCCTCAGTTTGTTTCTCAGGGTTAGCCTGGTGGTGGGTATTAAGGAGGGCACATTCTGCATGGAGCACTGGGTATTATGCACAAACAATGAATCATGGAACACTACATCTAAAACTAATGATGTAATGTATGGGGATTAACATAAGAATAAAAAAATAAAATAAAATAAAAAATAAAACCTAAAAAAAAAGAATTCCTCATATCACTGAGGTCATATGATACATGTCTTTCTCTGATTGACTTATTTCACTCAGCATAATACCCTCTAGTTCCATCCACATTGTTGCAAATGGCAAGATTTCATTCTTTTTGATGGCTGCAGAATATTCCATTGTATATATATACCACATCTTTATCCGTTCATCTGTTGATGGACATCTTGGCTCTTTCCATAGTTTGGCTATTGTGGACAAGAGGTTTTTATTCAACAAAATAGGATCATAAAAGAAAATTCTAATACTTAAAAATGGTTAAGATGGAAAATTTTGTTGTGTGCCTTTTACCACAATAAGAAAATAGGGAAAAGTGGGAAAATATACAGTTTTTACACCAAGAAATTCTTTCATGTACTCAAAATAGTCTTAGATGCATATATATTGGTAAGTAAAGGAAAAATTCCTAATATGTTTAAAAAGATAAGAAAAAAAGACCTCAAAATTTACCAGTAGTTTGTGTAGTGGACTTATGGGTGATTTTCTATTTCATTTTTTTACATTTTCTTTGTCCTTCTAAGTAGCTGTGTGTCATTTAATATTTGAGGGAAAGTAAATCTACCATGGAAGAAAAGGTGGTGTTCTGACTCCTGCCCAGCCCCTCCATGCCAGAGAGGTATCCCTAGCAGATCTCCCTGCATTTGTGTATCTGTCTCATGGAGACTCATGGCTGGGTGAGCATGGCAAGGAGCCCTGCTGATGGTGTACCTGGATCCCAGCTCCTTCCTGGGAGCATGCCTGTCAGGTTGAGGATTTCTCATCATCATGTCTTCCCCTCCCACATGCCTCATTCCCACCTGTCTCCCACTCGACTCCACCCCACCCAACAACCTTGAAGGCAAGTGTCCAACCATTGCCACCCTCTGAGAAGAGAGGAGGACAGTCCCATTGCCCAGATGGGGGTGAACACAAATGTGTCAAGTGTGCGTCTTCCCACATCCTGTTTTGTCCTGGTGCTGACACCCACAGCCTGGACCTGGGGCCTTAGAAGGGATGTCCACAAGTTCAGGTAGGAAACTCTGCTCTGGGGAGCCCAGTTGCCTGCTCTGACTCAGCAGGATGTCGTGAGTCCTTTTAAGCTCTAAAAGTCTTTGGTCCCCTGATTAGCATGTACAGGAGAAAACATTCTTCCCTGCATTTTGATGCATTCTTGTCTTGCTGGCTCTTATTAAACTGTTATTTTTAGCCAGTGATGTGTAGCCCCTGCTCTATGGGTCCCTGAGCTACTCAAAAGGACCTGGTTCATGGGACTCTTTCCTCTCAGGTTTAGGAACAGGAGGCCAGGAAGCCGCCCTGCAATGACTCAGCTATTAGCAGCTTCCTGTTGCTTCTTCATTTCCCATCTATTATGGGCTCTAATTAAAGGGAATTCCCCCGGAGACATCCTGAGGCATCTGGAAAAGGATTGACATTGGGATTTGAGGAAGTACTTAATGAGGATTGTGGGGTGTACTTGGACCACTGTGAGAAAAGTGGGTAAAAACCATCAATGGGTGGGGGCTTGACCATCTGCTTCCATCCTTGGGGGTGAATGATGAGTATCACCCTGGACAGCCCCTAGGCCATGACTCCCTCCACTGCCTCAGAATTGAGGGTGGCCTTCCATGCCCTGACTAGAGCCCACCCCAGGTCTCCAATGGTGCCAACAGGACCACAGGGGAGGGTCTGGAGCCTGACTTAGTGCCTCTGTTTTTTTTCACAAGGCCTGCAGAAAGGGGTGCAGACCTCCTTCCTGCCCCCATCATAGCACAGCAGAGTGTCTGAATCTAGGTGCCCTCAGGCCCAACCAGAGAGCAGAGATGAGCAGAACAGTGAGCAGGCGTTTGGAGCAGCTGGCTCCAGCTCAGACCTGCCCCAGGTGTACCACCTGGCACTTGCATCCATCCAGACTTCACTGTGGGGCCAGGCGGCAGACCAGGGCCTCTGACCTGGGGGAACTTACTCCTTTGGGAAGTGATCCTTTATCTTGTTGTATTCCAGACATTAACATGTGTGAACAACCCTTGAGAAGGTCCTGTGCAGCCTACGCTGACTGCCAGGGCATGGATGGCAGGTACTGCATGTGTGGCCCGGGACAGGAGCTCATTTCTGAGACAGTGTTCAGGAATGAGAGTGAGAATATGTGTCAAGGTAAGAATGGCTTTGCACCTTCCATCTCCCCATCCATGAGGTCTGGGGTCACTCAGCTCACTTTCTCCAAGCATCAGAGAGATATTCTGGGCACCGACCTGTGTCCTATCCTTCTCCAGACCCCAAGGCTCAGATCCTTCTGCAGAGTGCCACTCACACAATTTTGGAACGTCTCCCTTGCCATGTGGCACTTTGTTTTCAGAAAACAGAGGGGTGGCATCCAGGATACTTCACAAGCTCACAGTGCAATATCGGTTTCTTCTGTTTCATCAATGGCAGCCAGGATGAGACCTTCCCTACCTCCCTGGAATCCACACAGGCTCGGCCACACCAGGATGGACCCAGGAACCCTGTCCAGAAATGTGGGAAGTGGGGAGATTCAAGGGTAGGCCCACCTCCCCTGGCCATCCCTGCCCGTGGCCAATAACCCCACCTGGAGAAGGCTCCTCCTGGCACAGTGAACTGGCTTCTTGGCCTCCCAGCTCTAATTCCCCATGCAAGGCTCTGCCCTGAACCTCCCCAATAATTTTAGTTTATAGACCTGTGGGCAATCTGGGACCAGGAAGATGTTGTGTGGGGCTGGGCAGAGTGATGTGGACCACCCTACACACACACTCTAAAATTTAGGTGAATGGAAGACGCTGCCATCTGGATTGGATATAAAGAGAAGGGACCATTGCCAGAGGCCTGACCCTCTTCCAAGGAGGTCAGTCAAGGCCCCACGTTGACCCAGACCATCAGGGACAAAAGATGGAGGCCAAGCCCCATTCAGCTGGGCCCAGTGTGTGCATCCCTGGTGGGAGGCCAAGGGCCAAGAAAACAGAAACATCTGCCACTTCTTGCCCATCAGCACCTGCTCCCCTCTCCAACCACCCTGCCCTCACCCACTGCTGGCCTTGCTCAGATGCGGATTCTCACCACTTCCTGCCAGTCCAGGGGATGCCTTCACAGGGATCCAAAAAGGCAACTCCACTGTCCCAAGGCTGCCTGACTGGATGTCAGCCCCATTGTCTACCACAGCCCTGGTTCCCACTGTCCAGGTGACCCTGCCTGTCCAGCATCACTTTCATTCTCTCGACTCTTTGCCTCAAGCCCCTTAAAGGGCCTGGCTCAGGTATGGGTCTTGTCCATCTCCGTGGAGCTGGAGTCTCAGAGTTAGCATGGATAGGAGCATGCTCTCCTGCCAGGACAACGGAGATACCAAAGGTTATGCAGGTAGTGAGAATCCACCTGGGGAAAGTCAGGACAAAGGCCATAGCTGGGAGTCATGATAGGTCCTGGTCGGGAATGCAGCATTTCCCCTGCACGCAGTTCCCAGGAAAGCCCACCCTGGACTTGTTCAAGTCTTCAGGTTGGGACTCAGGTGGCTGTGACATCCCCACCCCATCTGGAGTAAGCTGAGGGCACCAGGCTTGACAGATTGAGAGGGCTTGGGCCACTTCCATCCACATCTGGACAACAGACCATCTGGCCACACTATTATCCCATAGGATGCTCCATGTGAAATAGAAAAAGCACCCATTCACCATGGAGGAGAGAAAGGGCCTTCTCCAAGCAGATTTCTACTATTGCCATAGAACAAAGAACCTGCATATGGGCAAGACACATGGATTGGAAGAGTTTCTCCTTCAAGATTTACTCCCCTCGGAGGGAGAGACAAACCATGAGAGACTATGGAGTCTGAGAAACAAACCGAGGGTTTTAGGGGGGGGAGGGGGGATGGGTTAGCCTGGTGATGGATATTAAGGAGGGCATGTATTGCATGGAACACTGGGTGTTATATGAAAACAATGAAGCATGGATCACTACATCAAAAACTAATGATGTATTGTATGGTGACTAACATAACATAATAAAATAAAATTTAAAAAAATAAATAAATAAAAATTAAAAAAAATAGATTTACTCCCCTCCTTTGGGAGAGGTTGGAGTTTCTACGTTGTGTCCCTGACATCAGCTGTCTGTGTATATTCTGTCCCCTCACCTGTAGCACCTGGGGTTCCATGAAGCCTGTGGTTATCCTTGACTGACTTCTTGGGGAGTCCAGGGAGATGGAGAGGACAGGCTGAGTCTTGGTTCTGTGTGCAGTATAGGAGCCTCTTGGATCCTGCTGGAAAGCCTTGGGCTGCAGGCAGAACCACCCCCCAGAAGGCAATGACCATGCAGACATGGGTTGAAACTGGAACTTGACTCTCCTCTCTTTTTCATCTGTTTTTCTGTCCCAGGGGTCTTAGTGCTGCTACTGCTGACACTGGGACCTGTACGGAAACTGAAAGGTGAGTGCCCAGCCAGCCCCATTGGTGACATAAGCTGGGGAGTGCATGCTGGGGTCTGGGTTTTCTCACCAACAAGGGGTAGGGAAGGGAGCTTATTCCACAAGTAAGTCTCACAGATGGTCTTCTGGGTATCCAAGAAGCTGTTTCCTCCTCCCTAAATGTCCAGAGTTTTCTGAGCTCTTCCAATGGCAGCTATACCTTCCCTACCCTCCCCTGCTCTATTCCTGGACCCCCAACTGGCAGCTGGCTCCCTCCATTTCTTAAGCCTTCTGACTGTGGTCTTCGTCCCCACAGCCTCTGCCCCCACAGACTGTGCTCAGTGGTGCCCTCCGAAATCCACGTGTGTCAATGCCACTGCCTGTCGCTGCTCCCCGGGATTCATTTCTTCATCCGGGGAGATGTTCACCAGCCTGTTGGAGAGTTGTGATGGTACAAGGGCTTGGGGTGGTGGAGAGGCACGGATACGGAGGGGGGAGATGGTGGAGCATCCCGAGCCCTCAGCCTCACTGACAGCAGCACCCAGCACTTCATCAAGGAAAAGAGAGAGGTGACAAGGCAGGGGGAGTATGAGGGAAGCGGACAATCAGGTTTTCATGATCAGTAGGTAGAGTGTTGAGAACTTACACAGCAAAGCTGAGCAATGTGGGTTCAAAGTCCAGCTCACCACTGATTACATCTGACATGTAGGAAATTATTTCTCCTCTCTATGCTTCAGTTTGCTTGTCTGTAAACTGGGGACAATCATTGTACCTACCCCCCCCATGGATGGAGTGAGATTTAAAATTCATGTGTGTGAAGAACAGGTAAAGACTAGTACAGAACAGACTGTCAGACACAAGTTATTATCATGGTCACTACTGTTATTACTGTGATGATTCTCATAGCACAAGGAAAGGGGAGAGTAATGGAAGCAGCAAGAGGAAGCAACAGAGCCTGGAAGCTCAGGGTCTTCTAGCATAAGCTCACTGGGAACTCCTGCCCCTTCATGGTCATTGTTTCCCACCTCGCTCCTCACAGTAGCCCCATGAGGCAAGCAGAGCTAGCACAGTTTTTATTTTCCACCTACACCCATTTTGCCCACCCCCACCAATTCCTCCCCACCTCCAGCACCCACTCATCTCTTCTATGAGTTCTGTTTTGTTTGTTTTTAGATTCCACATATAAGTGAAATCATATGTCATTTATCCTTTTCTCTCTAACATATCTCACTTAGCATAATGCCCTCAAGATCCATCTGTGTTGTTGCAAATGGCCAGATTGCCTTCTCTTTTATGGCCGAGTGATATTCCCCTGTATACATACACCACTTTTCATCATCTATTCATGCACTGATAGAAACAGGTTGTTTCCTTATCTTGCTTGTTATAAATGCTGCAATGAACATGAGGATGCAGATATCTTTCCAAGTTAGTGTTTTTGTTTCCTTCAAATAAATACCCAGAGTGGAATTGCTGGATCATATAGTAGTTCCGTTTTAAATTTTTTGAGGAAACTCCAGATTTTTTCTCACAGTGGCTGCACTAATTTGCATTCCCTCCAACAGGGAGCAAGGTTCCCTTTTTCCCACATCCTCACCAATACTTGCTATTCTATCTTTTTTATAATAGCCCTTCCAACAGGTGTGAGGTGAAATCACATGGTTTGGATTCGCATTTCCCTGATGATGAGTGATGTTGGGTACCTTTTCATACACCTGTTGGCCATTTGGATGTCTTCTTTGGAAAATGTCTATTCAGATTCTATGCCCATTTTTAAATTGGATTGTTTAGGTTTTTTCTATTGTGTTGAATGAGTTCTTTATATTTTTTGGATGTTAATCACTTCTCAGATATATGATTTGCAAATATTTTCTCCTAAATTACAGATCGCCTTTTCATTGTGTTGATGGTTGCCCTGACTTACAAAATCTTTTTAGTTTGGCGTATTCCCACTTCTTTTTTTTTTGTAACTTTAGTTTATTATGTTAGTCACCATACAATATTAGTTTTTTGTTTGTTTGTTTTGTTTTAATTTACATTTATTTCACTGAATACTGTTGGCAATGAAAATTTTTCGTATTTTTTTTTGTGGAAAGAGCCAAGATGTCCATCGACAGATGAATGGATAATGAAGATGTGGTATATATATGCAATGGAATATTATACAGCGATCAAAAGGAATGAAATTTTGCCATCATTAGTTTTTGATGTGGGGATCCACAATTCATTGTTTTCATGCAACACCCAAAGCTCCATGCAGTACATGCCCTCCTTAATACCCATCACCAGGCTAACCCCCACCCCTCTCCCCTCTAAAACCCTCAGTTTGTTACTCAGAGTCCATAGTCTCTCGTGGTTCATCTCTCCCTCTGATTTCCCCCACTTCATTTTTCCCTTCCTTCTCCTAATGTCCTCCATGCTATTCCTTATGTTCCACAAATAAGTGAAACCATATGATAATTGACTTTCTCTGCTCGACTTATTTCACTTAGCATAATCTCCTCCAGTCCCATCCATGTTGATGCAAAAGTTGGGTATTCATCCTCTCTGATACCTGAGTAATATTCCATTGTATATATGGACCACATCTTCTTTATCCATTCATCTGTTGAAGGGCATCTCTGCTCTTTCCACAGTTTGGCTATTGCAACATTGCTGCTCTGAACATTGGGGTGCATATGGCCCTTCTTTTCACTACATCTGTGTCTTTGGGGTAAATACCCAGCAGTGCAATTGCTGGGTCATAGGGTAACTCCATTTTTAATTTTCTGAGGCACCTCCACACTGTTTTCCAAAGTGGCCGTACCAACTTGCATTCCCACCAACAGTGTAAGACGGTTCCCCTTTCTCCACAACCTCTCCAATATTTGTTGTTTCTTTCCCTGTCCATTTTTGCTGTTCTAACTGGTGTAAGGTGGTATCTCAATGTGCTTTTGATTTCAATTTCCCTGATGGCTAATGATGATGAACATTTTTTCATGTGTCTGTTAGCCATTTGTATGTCATCCTCAGAGAAGTGTCTTCATGTCTTCTGCCTATTTTTTGACTTGATTATTTGTTTTTTGGGTGTTGAGTTTGAGTTCTTTATAGATCTTAGATACCAGTCTTTTATCTGTACTGTCATTTGCAAATATCTTCTCCCATTCTGTGAGTTGCCTCCTTGTTTTGTTGACTATTTCCTTTGCTGTGCAGAAGCTTTTTTTCTTATTCTTATGTTAATCCCCATACATTACATCATTAGTTTTAGATGAAGTGTTCCATGATTCATTGTTTGTGCCTAACACCCAGTGCTCCATGCAGAATGTGCCCTCCTCAATACCCACCACCAGGCTAACCCATCCTCCCAACCCCCTCCTCTCTAGAACCCTGTTTGTTTTTCAGAGTCCATCGTCTCTCATGGTTCGTCTACCCCTCTGATTTTCCCCACTTCATTCTTCCCTTCCCGCTACCTTCTTCTTCTTCTTCTTTTTTTTTTCCTTAACATATATTGCATTGTTTCAGAGGTACAGATCTGAGATTCAATAGTCTTGCACAATTCACAGCGCTTACCAGAGCACATACACTCCCCAGTGTCTATCACCCAGTCACCCCATCCCTCCCACCCCACCCCCCACTCCAACAACACTCAGTTTGTTTCCTGCGATTAAGAATTCCTCATATCAGGGACATCATATGATACATGTCTTTCTCTGTTTGACTTATTTCACTCAAGATAATACCCTCCAGTTCCATCCACGTCGTTGCAAATGGCAAGATCTCATTCCTTTTGATGGCTGCATAATATTCCATTGTATATATATACCACCTCTTCTTTATCCATTCATCTGTCGATGGACATCTTGGCTCTTTCCACAGTTTGGATATTGTGGACATTGCTGCTATAAACATCGGGGTACACGTACCCCTTTGGATCCCTACTTTTGTATCTTTGGGGTAAATACCCAGTAGTGCAATTGCTGGATCATATGGTAGCTCTATTTTCAACTTTTTGAGGAACCTCCATACAGTTTTCCAGAGTGGCTGCACCAGCTTGCATTCCCACCAACAGTGTAGGAGGGTTCCCCTTTCTCCGCATCTCCGCCAACATCTGTCGTTTCCTGACTTGTTAATTTTAGCCATTCTGACTGGTGTGAGGTGGTATCTCATTGAGGTTTTGATTGGGATTTCCCTGATGCCGAGCAATATTGAGCACTTTTTCATGTGTCTGTTGGCCATTTGGATGTCTTCTTTGGAAAAATGTCTGTTCATGTCTTCTGCCCATTTCTGGATTGGATCATTTGTTCTTTGGGTGTTGAGTTTGATGAGTTCTTTATAGATTTTGGATACTAACTCTTTATCTGATATGTCATTTGCAAATATCTTCTCCCATTCTGTCAGTTGTCTTTTGGTTTTGTTGACTGTTTCCTTTGCTTTGCAAAAGATTTTATCTTGATGAAGTCCCAATAGTTCATTTTTGCCTTTGTTTCCCTTGCCTTTGGCGATGTTTCTAGGAAGAAGTTGCTTCGGCTGAGGTCAAAGAGGTTGCTGCCTGTGTTCTCCTTTAGGATGTTGATGGACTCCTGTCTCACACTGAGGTCTTTTAACCATTTGGAGTCTATATTTGTGTGTGGTGTAAGGAAATGGTCCAGTTTCATTCTTCTGCATGTGGCTATCCAATTTTCCCAACACCATTTGTTGAAGAGACTGTCTTTGTTCCATTGGACATTCTTTCCTGCTTTGTCGAAGATTAGTTGACCATAGAGTTGAGGGTCCATTTCTGGGCTCTCTATTCTGTTCCATTGATCTATGTGTCTGTTTTTGTGCCAGTACCATGCTGTCTTGATGATGACAGCTTTGTAATACAGCTGGAAGTCCGGCATTGTGATGCCGCCAGCTTTGCTTTTCTTTTTCAACATTCCTCTGGCTATGCGGGGTCTTTTCTGGTTCCATACAATTTTTAGGATTATGTGTTCCATTTCTTTGAAAAAAGTGGATGGTATTTTGATGGGGATTGCATTGAATGTGTAGATTGCTCTAGGTAGCATTGACATCTTCACAATATTTGTTCTTCCAATCCATGAGCATGGAACGTTTTTCCATTTCTTTGTGTCTTCCTCAATTTCTTTCATGAGTATTTTATAGTTTTCTGAGTACAGATCCTTTGCCTCTTTGCTTAGATTTATTCCTAGGTATCTTATGGTTTTGGGTGCAATTGTAAATGGGATCGACTCCTTAATTGCTCTTTCTTCTGTCTTGTTGTTGGTGTATAGGAATGCCACTGACTTCTGTGCATTGATTTTATATCCTGCCACTTTACTGAATTCCTGTATGAGTTCTAGCAGTTTGGGGGTGGAGTCTTTTGGGTTTTCCATATAAAGTATCATATCATCTGCAAAGAGTGAGAGTTTGACTTCTTCTTTGCCAATTTGGATGCCTTTGATTTCTTTTTGTTGTCTGATTGCTGTGGCTAGG